TCAGCAGGATGTTTTGTACTGTTCCTTTCATTCTAGTTTTAAAGCAGCAAAGGAGAGTGGCCTCACGCCAGCTGGGTTTCTTCTTTTCCATTAACCATGAGTACAATATTATTCTAGTCATCTTGCTATTTTCCCCTTTCCCTAGGTTTGTACATCAGCTTTATTAAATACCAGTAATTGCTGTCTTCCACTCCACGTGATGGTTTTCATCTCTTCTCATTTAAATTTTTCAAACAGTTTTCTTGCAGTAGTATTCTTTTTGTTTTTCTCGATTTTTTTTTGCCCCGTGACCATCTTTCTGGCTTCCTTCTAGCAGGAAAATTGTCCTTTATTATTATTGTCCTGTTAGTCACTAGTAATAGTAGTAATGATAATAAAGACAGTTTAATTATGGAGCATAAGCAGCATTAGACATCCTATCAAGCTCTAGTTCTTGCTTAAAACTAATTAAAAGTCTTCAACAGCAGAAATGAGATCCAAAATTGAGGCTTCTCTTGGCATGCCTGCTTCAGACCTTGTCAAAGCCAGGGTTAAAAAACAATTGCAATGGTTATGGTCTGGCACCTGATCTTCCTTCCACTGCCTGAGCTGATACTTGCTTGAAACACCTACTATCTTGCAAAGAGACTGCTTGGCCTGGCCAGGCCTTCTGTATGGGTTGTTCCCAGTTCCACAGGGAACTCAAACCTTCCTATGCAAGCCTTGAGTAATAATAATAATAATAATGATGATGATGATGATGATAATAATAACCGCCATCATCATAGAATCACAGATGTGAGGGGTTGGAATGGACCTCTAGAGATCACCTACTCCAAGCCCCCGCCAGAGCAGGATCACCTAGGGCAGGCCACGCAGGAACGCATCCAGGCGGGTTTTGAAAGTCTCCAGAGAAGGAGACTCCACAACCTCTCTGGGCAGCCTGTGCCAGTGCTCTGTCACCCTCACAGTAAAGAAGTTTCTCCTCATGTTGAGGTGGAACTTCCTATGTTCTTACTTACACCCATTATTTCTTGTTCTATTACTGGGCACCATTGTGAAGAGATTGTCTCCTTCCCCTTGACGCCCACCTCTCAGATATTTGTATACATTAAAAAGGTCCCCTCTCAACCATCTCCTTTCAGGGCTAAACAGCCCCAGCTCTCTGAGTCTCTCTTCACAGGAGAGATGTTCAAGTCCCTTGATCATCCCTGTAGCTCTCCGTTGGACTCTCTCCAGTAGGTTCCTCTTGAACTGGGGAGCCCAAAACCAGACACAGTATTCCAGCTCTGGTCTCACCAGGGTAGAGTAGATGGGGAGGAGAACATCCCTAGACCTGCTGGACGTACTTTTTTTAGTGCACCCCAGGTGTAATTGGTGCTTCTAGGGTGTTCTGCTTATCAACAATGGATAACCGCTAGTGTGATGATTTAAACTGTAGAAGTTATATTGGGCAGAAAAGGTAGCCAGGACAGTTCTGAATTACCCTGTATTGGTAGGAACCAAAATTTCAGGCTTTGAAAAAAGAGTTGTACTGATGTTTCTTCATAGAGTGAGGTATGACTAAGCTTTAGAAAGATCTCGGTTTGACCACAGTAAAGCCTAACACTTCTGTTGTTATTTCAATGACATTTCTGGGAGACTGGATGAGCGAAGGATTTTTAATTGATTCTGTGGAAGCTGCTTTGTCTTACTACTGATGAGATAATGAATATAGTTATTTTGCTAAAGATATACAAAAAAAATTGGTATCTGTATTTAAAACTATTTATGTGTTCTAAATACTGTGTTATTTAATATGACATCACGTATCCTATTGAACCAATAGCACAGAATCAAGATAATTCCTATCTGAAGGAGTTTAGTCTAAATGATGCAGGTTTTTTTCCATAGTGTTTGCACTTGGAGAAAAATTGCAGTGGAGTATTTTTTCTTGCATCTTCCAGGCTCTGACCAGAGAGTTACAGCACAGCGTACAGGAGCTGAGAACAAAAATAAAACAGGCCAAAAAAAAGGAAGAAGTCGGAGTGTGCAAAAAGGGTCTTTCCCAAGAGTCTGTTCAGTTGGCAGCATCTATCCTTAATGTCTCAACAAGAGATCTGGAGGAGATATTGGAAGTAGAAGAGGATGAGGTAAGTTATTTTAAGGACTCATCAGTAAAAGGGGTTAGATCAGAAGAAGCTGTTTGTTTCTGCTCCTGAGGAAAAGGATTTCTATGTAAAGACTGGAATTTCACTGGGCAGCATCCAGCACAAAAAGAAAAGAATAGCTAGATTCAAATGAAAAGGTCAGGTCAGAGGTTCATAAGGTGGCAAGACTTTGGGCACACATAAATAAAATACAGATATACTATTTTGAGAATGTAGATGTACAGACATTATTTGAAAATCCTTAGTAGTTTCCTTTTTCATGAGACCATTTGACAGGGTTGTACATTTTAAAAAGACTTCTGCATCAATGAAAACAACATTAGAATGTGTATTGCTGTGGCAGATTGATTCCATTGATGCTTTCTTTCTTGAATTGTGATACATATTAAAAGTATTTCTAATAGACAGATAGTTTCGGGGGGAATCCATTGCCTCTTTCTGTTGATTCTATCATACAACTTTTTAATGAAATATTTGATAGAGTTTCATCAAATCAACCTCCATTAAATAGATACAGTAATAGGATTTCTTATCCAGATTTATCTAGGCCTAATCAAATAATACATGAAAAATCTTGTACATGAGCATCTAGGAGTTGACCGTTATTGGGGCTGTAACACTGCTCTGGTGATGACTTAGGTTTAGCCTTATTGGAGCTTTATGTTGCAGAAGTCACAACAGAGAGTTTTCACATTGGTCAAATGAAGGTGCATTGCATGTGTATGTGCAGACACGGGTTACATTCGTGAATACAGATAAAATGGACAGATCTCTGCCCTGTTTACTAGCATTTATGCACCCCTGTAAAGTGATCCACTCTGATGGGATTGTTTCTTGTTTTTTTCATTCTCAAAGTAATTTCTACATCCTATATCTTTTGTTGTAATCACTGTTGTAAATATATGTGAAAAATACACAAACATTCTTAACTATGAATAGGAAAGAAATTTAAAATACAGATGATGAATTTACGCTGCACAAATTGTAGATAAATTTCACATTTATCAGTGTGTAGGCTTGGGAACCTTTACGCTGAACTTGTAAAATTTGCACATAGATCACACGTGCTTTGTACATTCATGTGAAAAGAGCATGCACTGCATGTTTCTAAGGGTTATGCACAGACAAGGATAGATTTATAAATTTAACGGAGTCCTCATACTTGGTGGATATGCTTAGGATGACTAGTTGTGCAAGCGTAGTTCCCACTTCCACATGCTGTTTATTTAATGTATATCCAGTTACACATTACCTTTACTGTACATGTGTTCTTCTCAGTGTCAACATACTGTGTCTATGCTATATTTGTCTATTTTTAGGAAACAGCAACGACAAAAATGGAATTTGAAAAAGATAAAGAATGGCTGCAGTATATACAGAAACTTCTTGAAACACAGGTGCTAAATTTATATCTTCCCATAATGAATTACAGCTTTCTGCTGTGAGTAGCTAAGTGGGTTTAGGTTGTAATTAATCCATTGTATTTGTAATTATGTTGCCACTGACGGTCCCAAACTGTACTGTGATAAGGCAATATAAAATCTTTGTTTGGTAGCGTTTCCTTTTTATTTCTCTTAAGAGTTAATAGGTAAAACTGAAGAGATGTTAAACAAGGATTTGTGGTAGCTAATTTAACAACTGAAACTAGTGAAACAATACTGGAGAAAGCCAGCACAAATCTTGGCAAATGTGTTAATTGAATTATTGAAACAGTATGTAATGCTTGCTACAGTGAAGAGGATCCATTCTCTGGTACCTCTTAGGAAAAAGAGATTTTTTTATTATGTGTCTTTAAAGTTAGTAGTTGATATGGACACCTGAGGAGTTCATGGGTTTCAGTGACCTTTTACTGTGGACCTGTTTCCAGTCAATTCATGTTTTCCTCATAGCCAGACAGCTGTTTATTATCGTGTCTTCTCGCATTCTCTACAATATTTTCTACTGAGACCTCGAGCAGCTTGTTAGTGGGAAGTAAATATTGATTTGGCATCCTGTCAATGCAGAAAGAATGAAAAAATTTCCACCAGAGGCCCCTCAAACATTTTCCTATCGACATTTTCTGGGCAGAGAGGAAAGCTGCATAGAGGATGACAAGGCTGAGACTAGCAGAAATCCCTGAGGGGTCCATTGAGACTGCCGCTGTGACCTGTGTGATACTTCTTCTTCTCTTTCAAGTCTTTTTTTTAATACACACAGAGTCTGCTGGGATGCTCCCCTCTTGTAAGTGATCAAGGGCAGTTTATTGGCAGGTGAGAGCCCTGTTTTTTTAGCCATAGTCAGCTTTTGTTTGGACATCACTGACAACATACATGGACTCTTGAAACTTTTCCATTACATTTTAGTTGTCTCCTTTATTCAGATGATGGGTAGCTGATGTCTGAAAAGAAATAAAATTTGATCTATAAATCCAGTGTTCCTAATGCATATTCACCAGCACAGGTTCATCAGTGATGCAGTTCTTTTGGGTTAAGAGTGGGAATGATTGAAAATATTTTGAAAGCCATTTCAAGGCAACACTTGCATTTAGATTTATATATTATATCATTAATAGCTTTTGTGTCTGGATTGTGTCCTATGACTAGATTTTTAAGAAATAAGAATTTTTCCTTCTATCATTATCAAAAGATACTACAAGTAAGACTGTTCAATTGCTGCAGTGGAGGAGATGAAAATAACAGTTTTGCTTTTACTGGTTTTGTCAGAAGTATTGGCATTTTAATTTAAGCTTGTAATGTTACATGGAACTTAGCAGTAAAAGCACAAATATTTCTGTCACTAAATTGCCTTAATTTTAGGATTTTTTTTCTTGAATCTATAAATGTCAAGATTGTGCCCATATTATGGACTCCAAAATAGGAATGCTGGATTTCCTGATTCTTATCTGATTTTTTTGTTATCATTCTTTGGTAAATTCTTATAAAATTCTAAACAGAATTTTACCACTTCTCTTTGATATAAACAGACAGCAGTAACCAGGACATGAAGGATGAGGGGGCTGTTGTCTATGTAACCAACTATATTAGGATTGCAAATATTAGCTAAGGATAGAGGGACTCGTTGCTTTTAGCTGCTTGTGTACAAGTTAATAGTGGTTTTCAGTGATATTTGCTCCATCTTGTGGGGTTCCTCAGAGAAGCGCTGAGGGTAAAAGTAATTCTTGGCAAGCTGACTCTCTTTAGAACTGCAAGGGGAGTAGTGCCTTGGGGGAGCCGTGAGCTCTGCTTTTCATTTCTGTTCATATTAAGTCACATGCATGGAAACTGCAAGATTTCTTGATCTCTGTTTGGGAGTGTTTCACAGAAGAATGCCGTGCCCGTTGAAATGCTTAACTTGTATCTTGCTGAGTTAGGCTGTGGTTTTCTTTAGTAGGTATTGGTAATATATCTGGTCAGAAAAATAAAGCTCATGGTGAAGTGCAAGCTTTCTGTCAGGACTTTTCTTGTAACAGATCGCTCAGTGTTACAGGCTGGCAGACTGCATAGCCGTTTGCATCTTGGAGAAAGATGCAGGCTTGCCCTTTTCTGTTATTCTGAGAAAATGTTCAGTTGAAATTGCATCAGATCACTTAATATTGCAGTTTGATATAGTGTCTTTTTGTGCCATTGAGCCAGGACTTCGGAACATAATTGCGCAGCAGTATTGATTTAATTGCCTAGGTTTATTTGTGGACTCCTAATTATTGATTGGAGGTAAATTTAATGGAGAAACCTTTATGAACACTGGGAACTGCTGCTGCTGCTGTTACACATAATGAACTGCATCATATCCCTTTAGATCATTCTTCAAGCTAATTTTATTCCACTGTGACAGTACGATAGCATTTAAAATGTCATAGACATTTTGTTTTTATTACTGACATATTCCATTTTACTGCTGCATTAGAATTTTTGGGGGGACTGGGGGAAGCACTAGTTGCTTTTTACTGTCTTTTCATAGAGTGCCCTAAAGCCTAATGATAAAGGGTAGCACACCTCTGTTTTACACTTCACCTGTATCTTTATTTTCTGTACTCTTAGGACTTGAAGATGTCTAATTTCTGTCAGCTTTACAAGAATGTTAGTATTTCAGTGATAAATATTTTTGCATTCTTGAGGCTCACAGACTCCATTTAGAGTTTGTCTCCTTTTTTTATCAACTACTATAGCAACTCATGCGGTGAAACTACACCACTGCTAAAAAACTTAGAATTTCATAGAGACATCTCTGCATCAGAATGTTATTATGTAAATAAGAATCATATGGTCAAAAAGTACAGTCATGTTCCGAATTCTACAGAGCTGGTCAAAATTCACTTGTTGTCTGAACCTATGTCTTGTATGGCCAACAAGTATTTTTTCAGTCATCTTTTTTTATTTGCACATTAACAGCAAGTGACTGGAGTGGTCTCACTAAAGTAGAGACATGAAACATCTTAATAAATGACATTAGGATAAAAAGTAGAAAGTTCTTTTGGCAGTGAAGAACTTTTATGTGGAGAGGCTTCACAGACACACATGCAGATACCTTCTACCTGCACAGGAATGTCTGTGTCATGTGTAGAGACATCTGACAATGCCTTAGCGACTGGACATGGGGCAGAGAAGCTGGGAGAGATATCGCATTATAGACCATTGAGGTTTTAGCTGTCCGTAGTGTTTGTGAAAGGAGGGAACAGGTATGGCTATCTGAATATGTATCTGTGTTTACATCTTGCATGGCAAGTGATGAGGCTTCTTCTACCTATCTGGTTATGTATGTCATGTTATTTAAGCCTGGCACAGTATAGTAGGACTCCCTTTTTTATTATCATAGAGAAAAACCTAACAAATTTTCTCTAGCTTTTTTTTTTTTCTGTCATAGGAAACTTTAGACAAGATTTCTTGTACCACCCAAGGCTTTCATTCATTGTGCCTGATTGTAAGGAACAGCATCTCTGAACAATCCATTAATAATTTTGTATGTCAGTACAGGATGTTAATCCAACACAGATTACTGCCTGAAGTCTTCAAGAACTATTTTTTAATAAAATACCAATCATCTGCCTAACTCTTCCAAGCACTGAAGCAAATGATTTAGCACGTCCCTTATCAGATATACATCAGCATTTTCCTTCTCTCTCCCCTTATGTACTCCTTGGGATACTACATCTTCCATAAACAAAGCTGTCTAATAAAATCTTTCCTCTCATGACCTCATTATGGATCTACAAATCACATTCCAACAGTGAAAACCTGCAGAAAAACTCACTCTCCTCTCTTCTGTGAGTGCTCTGCATAATCCATCGCTAGAATAGGGTTTGGAATAGAATACTCACTCTTCATTGGCAGGCATTTTCTCCAACCCCTTTTTAGGATTTGCACTGGCTTCTAAATACAGGTATCTTCTGGTGTCATCTGGGAATGAGCACTAAAAGCTGTGATTGCTTCAATTCAAATTTATGGGGTTGGAACTCACCTGCTTTGCTTTCATTAGTCTGTCTCCAACCTGTGTGTGTCTTCTCTTTGAACAGGTCTCTGCTCATTGCCTGTCCTCTGCTCATACGCACACCTGTGTATTCACCCCTGAACAAACACACCAGTGCACGCTCACCACTGCTACCATCACCAAGTGTTTCAAGTACCTGCACCCTAAGGAGCAGTACTGGTGAAGTCTGAACCGTATCTGGGCACCATTAACATTGATATCAGACCACCAGAAAGTACATGTTTTTTGTCATTACAAGAATAAGAGATCAGTCCTGTGCATTGACAATCCATTGTGGTATAAATCTATGTTTTATATCATGCACACAGACACAACCACATTATATTACTTGTCCTGGACTGCAAAATGAGAGATTGGCTTGGTCACTCAGGATAGGAATACAGACAGGCACATATAGATTTGTATAATCATGGTCAAGGAAGTGATTCTTCCCCTCTATTCTGCTCTAGTGAGATCTCACCTGCAGGACTGTGTTCACCTCTGGGCCTGCCAGCCTAAGAAAGACGTGAACCTGCCTGAGACAGTCCAGAGGAGGGCCATTAAGATGATCAGATAGTTGGAGCAGCTTCCCTGTGAGGACAGGCTGAGAGAGCTGGGGTTGTTCAGCCTGGAAAAGAGAAGGCTCTGGGGAGACCTTATAGCAGCCCTCCAGTACTTAAAGGGGACCTACAGGAAAGCTGGGGAGAGACTGCTTATCAGGGACTGTAGTGATAGGACAAGAGGTAACAGTCTGACACTGAAGCATTGTAGATTTAGATCAGATATTAGAAAGAAATTATTTTCTGTGAGGGTGGTGAGACACTAGAATGGGTTGTCCAGAGAAATTGTAGGTGGCTCCTCCCTGGAAGTGTTCCAAGTGAGGCTGGATGCGGCATTGAGCAACTTGGTCTGGTGGGAGGTGTCGGAATGAGATGATGTTTAAGGTCCCTTCCAACTCAAACCATCCTGTTATTCTGTGTATATATAGCCATCACAAAGCAGAATGAGCAATGAACAACAGCAAAGCATTTGTCTAATACTATTTGTAAACTTTGACTTTTAGTTTATAGTGAAATTAGGAGATTCTGGTCATTGTAATCTGAGTTTCTTCAGTATTATTCTGGTTTATTCTTTGTGATTCTCTTAACTCCATTTGAGGCAGCACAGCAGTGTGTTTGGAGTTTTGCTGGGTAAATGTATTATACTGTTGATCTATATGGGGAGATTTAAAACAGGTGTAAACACTAGTTCATGTATTCCAGAAATTAAATACTTTTCTTTTTCTGTTAACACATTTTAGACCTTCTGATTGTTGTCGGGAGAAGGAGTTGGTTTCAATATTAGTTTTGTATATTTTCATTATTTTTTATTAGTACTAATATTGTTTTATTAAAGCCGTTACTGTGTTTTTTTCCAGTCCGTAAGTCTCTCTGCCTTACTCCTTTTCTCTTCCCCTTTCGCGAGGGAGAGGGGTTAGAGAGCATCTGTCAGTGTTCAGTGGCTGGCACAGCCCTGACCCTAGACACTATCATAATGTACTGATTTAGGCTCACTATCATTGTTAATTTGTGGTGTTCAGATGAACTGGTTGTGGCACAGATAACTGGAAAACATTTGAAGGAAGTATCATTCTGTACTAAAATGTATAATTATCAGTGGTATAAACAAGCTCTCACTCCCTAGGTGTGCACTGAGCACTCACTGAACTCCCCAAGCATATGGCACGTTTGGAAGCTGAGATGAATACTTCGGAGAAGAGACACTTTCAATAGTAGTGAAGTTCTGGGGAGAAATGTAGATGGAAGCTTCCCAGGATAGTTAGAGAGCCATGATTAGAAGTAAATCTGACAGGCTTCTATTAAAGATGAAAGCTATAGATATCATCTATTTCTGGGTGTCTGATGGAAAGAAAACCAGATAAAAACATACAGCCCTTTCTCTGATACCAACCAATATTGAAAGAATGGCATAACATTCAACTTCCAGATGTTCTTGATTTAAATGAATTATTTAAATAGAAAGAGTTCTTGAAAGAACACTTTGCTGTGACATGGAAGCCACAGAGAGTAGTGAGCAGCAAGTAAAATGTAGCTAGAATGGTATGAGCCAGAGACGTCGATAAGAAACCATTCATCTCGGGCACAACATTAAGGAGGTGAAATGTATCAGAAATTAATGTAGTCAAGCTAGGCAAGAAGAATTAGAGACTTTGAGGTAATGGTATAGTGTACTCGTAAAAAATATATTTAGACAAGGAGGGAGAGCAATTAGAGTGAACAGGATGCTTTAGTCAGTGATTTTAAATCACAGTAGCACGTGAGTGTCACAGAATTTCAGATAAGATTATGTCTTATATTATTGGGAACAGATTTGTGCTCAGTGAGTTGGATGCTTCTACTTCCCAAAAAGTCATCACAATAGCATACCGGAGAAAGGTGGAAGGTGTAGGTGACTGCTAGAAAATTCTTACCATAGACAGAAGTTATTTATGAAAGATGGAGACATATCTGGCCAGCAAATACCATCCCTTCAAATCTCCCTTCTCTGTAACTGCAAAGTGACTGTTATGCAACATGTAGGATTGCCATTAGTGACTTCATGGCAGATGCTTGCTACTAACAAGATTTTCCTTGCTACCATTTTAGATTTTTTTTCCAACTTGTTAGTAATTATAAATACCAGTGTAGAGATTTGTATCTGTATATCAGCTCAGACATTACACCAGCATTTGTATTTAATGTACTTTTATGTCTGGGATCTTCTGTTTGTTTGGTTTTTTGTTTCATATATCTAGGAGACAGGCAGTATTCTGTCTGGAATGAGTACTATACAGTTTTCTCTGTAAGATGAAATAAAGAAGTGAAAAATAAAGCCAGAACAATTATACTCGAGTGTGGAACTAGAGGGTGATTCTAGATGCAAAAGTATTGCCTTGAACTACAGTTCTGAAAAGCCGAGGAGGCTCGTAAATGGCCTGTTCAAACAACTGATATATTTTACCTAATTTATTTCTGGTGGCCTTATTAAAGTAAGATTATCTCTCTTTCTGATATTAGTGTCAGCTGTTACTTTGGTACAAGATGGACCTCTTGGTCACTGCTGGTCACACCAGGAGTTCAAGATAGGAAAGAAGGTTTCACTTTTCTCTATAAATACATGAATACCACTTTTTGGTATCATATTTTAGGGGAGCAGACATTTGTGTCACATCCCAGTCAATGCAATTGGAGCTTTTAGGATTTTGTTTGGCTTTGGGGTTTTTTTTCGCAAGTTTTCATGTGTGAGTCTAAGGCAGTTACTGCAGTACTGGAAGATGTACTAGTAGTTCTACCTCATCCTCCTGGGAGTAGTGAACGTAAACTACCATTTCTGCATGCCCTAGAGATGACTGTAAGCTTTTATTGATCAGCTGATTGAAGATAAATGACAGAGATGCTGGTACTGCGGTTTACATCATTAACATGGTCAGTAAAGCATGAATTGTTCAATCAGATGTTTGTTCATTTTACTCTGTTCTTTTATCATTTTTATTATAGCAAACTTTCAGACACTACTAGGCAAGCTAATTTTAAATATCAGATCTGTACATGTGTGGTAGTTGTCAGAACTAAGTGAAATCTAATGATTTAAGATATTTAATAAAGATTTTTCACGTGGAGAAAGTATTGTTCAGTGATAATTTTTCTTACTATGTTTCTTTTTCAGTTTCCTTTTGCCTCATATTTAATGGACGCTGTACTGGAAAAATTAAATGAGAAGAATAAACTGGTAGTAGAGTACAGTTCTCTCATGAAACACACTGTGTGATACTGCTAAGACCTATCGTTGCAAAGTATGACTAGAATGTGTATGCTATTCCCTCATGTCTTTCCTCTTCACATAAAGAATTGTCAATATTCGTGTTCAATACATAAGTGGGAACTGTGAACTGATTAGTTGTTGAACAAGAGGAACTAATTACATTCCTGTTTAGAAAAGAGTATAGTGTTTGATTCCTGAACACAAAAATTGGTGCAAATCAATGCAAAGTTAAAAATTATTTTCCTTTAAATGCCTTAGCCATGAGAACCAGTGCAGGCTTTGTGGAGGGAGTATGTTTCTGATACAACCAGAATGTATCTGTACAATTCAGAAAATGTAAAAAGCACCCAAGTAACTCTTGATTGTACTAGTCAGAACAGTAGATGTAGAATTTACTAGGAACTGGGAATATGAGGATTTTGAATACCTAATTTCTTTTATCTTCTTTGTAAGAAAATGAATGCTTGTAGAATATACTCAATGTAGAGTAATACTCCTGGGGAAAGCTATTATTTCTTCTGAGTTAGAGTACATTGTGTAGAATGTATTTAATTGCATTTTAAAAAAATCAATACAATAAAGTTATTCCCATTGTGGGTTTTTTCACTAGTAGTTCCAGTTCTTTCTCATCTAACACCAAGCTGCAAGCTCTCACTTTCCTTGGGAAAATGGTATACGGTTTCGGTCAGTTGTTTCCACTAAGATTTCTCTGGCAGTACTAACAAACAATTGCTGCTTCTTCACACCTGTGTTCTTCAGAGTTTGAATTCCTCTGAACCAACTCACTTGAAAAAAAACCCAGAAGATCCAAGTTTCTGAATTCATGTGGTAATAATATTAACTCATATATGGCTATTAATCTATGAATATCAAGTTGTTTTACAACAGATACCATTATCATCAGTCAAGCAAGCTGGCCTAAGATCACTCAACAGAAACATGAAACAGAAAAGTTTGCTGTATGTCAGTCCAGTGCTTTTCCCAGGATATCACTGTGCTGCTTTTAATTTATGGAGTTCCCTATCCCTGCCTCTAAAGAAAGGATCAGGTTGGGAAGACATCACTAAACTTCTCTTCAGTCACACCTGATGGCAACAGGGTCTTGAGAGAATTTTTAATGGAATTACTGAAAACCATGCAGGCATATTCCACCTGCACTTAAGTAAATTAAGTACTGAAGCTAGCCCTGTATAAAAAACCCCAAACATATCTTTAGGAGTGTCTGGCCACCACTGTTTCCAAAGCAAGAACTAAGGGACATATGGAACTATCAGGTGACATATTCAAAGCAAGCAAAGGGAAGCCACTCCCATGCAAAGGGAACTGAGCTGTGGAACTGTGTGCCACAGGGGTTTACTGAAGCTAGAAATTTACCTGGGCTCCAATGCAAATAAAATTATGGAAGATAAATCCATCAAAGCATGTGGAAGCCATGTTCATGTGATTGTCAGTAATTCCAGCAAAATGTATTTGAAAATAATTTCAACATGATATCTACTGCTGGGAAGTGGGAAGAACTTCATGAGGCCAAAATCTGTGATGGTTAGTCCCTTTGTCTTCATTTTTGTGCTCTGCAGGATGTGCTTATGTAAGTCTGATCTTAGTGCTAGTCTTAGTACTTGCTGATCTTTTGTCTAGTGAAAGAACAGGGAAGATCAGCTAATTCACGTGGAAACAGAACTTTTTGAGACTAGCTTCCAGATTAGTACCTTTTTCTCATAACTTGACTAGTACATTTTTCTCTTGGCCCTTGAAATTTCTATATCTCCTGTGCACCTGGGTATGGAGAGAACTCTCAGTGGACCAAGAGTAAGCAAGAGTGGTGAATGCTGCAGAACCAAATTATTATCTATTTCTTTTGAAGTGAGAAAGAGCAAAACAAGATCCTTAAGCCCAGATGGAGCCAATATTATCACAATTTTTTTCAAGGAACAGAAAATACAGCAAGTGTTATTTATTTGCAACTGTTTCCCTTGTGCATCATGTCACAAGGGACACAAACGCTCTACAAAGAAAAATAATTCTCCATAAATCTCTGTGGCCTAGGCCCTAACGGTGGGGTTAATTTTCCCCTTCTTTTGAAAATTATTAGGGTCAATATGCCAGATAAACTTACTTGGCTGAAATATTGTATTTGGATGCCACTAAAACAAGTTCTGCAGGCCATACCTTGGTAAAGATTTTTTTTTTCCCTTCATCTGAGTCTTCTGCAATCGTCTGCCACTTCTCGAATGAGGGTTTCCTCAATTCCATCAATTAAATGTTCACTTGCTGACAAATGAGCCTACAGAGCTACCATCAGCACTTGTGCTCCACAGAAGAGACACTCTCCATCATCTTTGGTAAGTCATGGGGAACAGGAGAGGTGCCTGAACACTTGAGGAAAGTGAAG